CTGCATGCAGCCCGCGAGCAACAAGCAAGGAGTAGAAGCTCTCCTTTGCACACTTCGAGAGTGGCAAGCAGTTGCTTGACTCGTGGTCGTCATCTACAGGCCGATGCAGTCCCAAGCGCACTTCAGAAGCAAGTGGGGAGGCCGCATGCATGCCTGCCATGTGAATGGGCGAACGATGACGCTTTCCTTCCAGAGGTTCCGGATGTACCTTACGGAATTTGCTGCAAGGTGTATAAGGCTACTAAGTGTTGCATCGGGCCGACTGGCTGGGTGAGTGTAGGGAAGATTACCGTATCCTTGCGCAAGCATCTCGGAGCAAAAGCACCCCAAATTGCTGCAGGTAGCTTTGTTCAACGAAGCGAAAGCTTATGGGATCATCAAGGCAGACACTGGCGACTCGGAGGTGCCACTAGGGTAGGGGCACGAATGCGTGCGTTCTTTAGGCTGGGAGCTTTTGTATGCTTTTGTGGGATGCGTGGGTGCGCGAGTCTTTCCTGCTCAGAACGACGCGTTCCAACAGGAGCTGGTTCCCCTTTCACAGCCCCCCTTGCCGCGGCGACGAGGCATTCTTTTCAACCTCGGGTCTAGCCGACGGCTACGGCACAATGGCGGTGGGCGACAAGGTTTCCTACATCGAGGAGCTCGCATCCTTGCGCATCTGTTGATTCAAACACTTCAAGACGCATCCCTGTCATCCCTGTCATGGGTTCTACTCCACAGACTTCTCAGCTTTCCTGCTGAGCTCCGAAAAAATGCCTTGTTCAACGTTGACTTGCTGCTATATTCTGCTGACCAGACCCTGGCAGGATCACGAAATGATAGAGGGGCAGCTGTGCGCAATCAATATCCGAAAGCGGTCCGCTGCTGACTGCCGGCCTGACACAGAGTGAAATCTCTCGCCAGAAAGCTGCCGCTCGCGGATGAACGTAGAAGCAAGGGCCAGCCAGAGGGAAAGATCTACACTGCTCCGGTTTGGAGGTTAGCTTGTGTTCGGCCAGGCGGATGCTCAGACAAAGGAGGTGAGTGTGCTGAGAGATAGTTGCATGCGCAGTTCGTTGACCGTTGAACACCGATAATTGCTTTCGACATGTTGCACGACAGTCTCACCACTGCTCTGTACAGGCTGCAGGCAGCTCACCAAAGCTTTCTTGACATGCATCATCCAAGAGAAGCGCCCGCGTGATTCTCTAACCTGGAACTATCTGTGCTACTTTGGTGACAGGCATCTTCCATTTTAAATGTCGTGGGGCTCGGGCTCCTTGTTGAGGAAACCAGGTGCTGCGAGCCAGCCCTTGAGGCAAAGAAAAAAGGACTGGATTGATGCATGAGAGTTGCACAGGGGGCAGATATGCTAAAACCTCGCTAGTGATTCCCTGAGCATCACAGTTGAGTGTCGACTCGGTGTTTTGCATCGGCATCTTGCTGCCCAAGTGAGCCCACTGGTTTCAGCGGTCAGCCATGCCGTCAGGCGGAGGATCCCCGGATAAGGCCCGGCTGCTCCACTACCAGCGGGCCGCGAATGACACCCAGGAATCTCAGGAAGAGACGAGGGACATCGAGGGTGATGAAGTCCTCACCTCAAGATCTTCAGACCACAACCCCTTGAAGATTGTGGCAATGATCGCTCTTCTTGCGATGGTGGTGGGCATGGCAGGCTTGGCAGGTCGGAGGATGCTGAACTACAAGGGACCGGACACGAGGGAACCAGTGTGGCTGCAGCTTGCTGCGCACAGCAAGAATGTCACGAAGCGCGCCTCAGCCTCAGCCAATACCGCAAGCACCAAGACTTGCCACTCCGCGGTCGCTGGTGAAGCGTGCTATGGTGCCGTCTTGTGGCACAAGTGGATCGGAACCATTGAGAATCCCGGGGCCTACCCCAAGGGTGTTTGGAGGGGTTCCAATCGCACGGTTATCCAGCAATTCCTGCACGAGACTAATCAATCCGACTGTCCCAGGCCTTGCGAGAACGAGCCATACCCAATCCCACCACCCGCTCCAAAAGGATCGCCATCAATTTATTGCTTCTCCGTGGCCCGCCCTGGGCCAGAGATGGATACCATGCACCTGCAGAGGCAGACCGGAAGCGGTATTTTTGCCTGTGACGGCTTCGGGGTTTACAGCGATGTGGACGTGGACATCCAGGGGCTCAGGACCATCCCCATCGGCTCAACGGCATCCGGGGTCTCTGTCGACAATACCGCCGCGAACTCCCAGGTCTTCATGAGAACGTGGCTGACCTTGCTGAACAACAACGACTGGTGGCACTACGACTTCATCGCCAAGGTCGACCCGGATGCAATTCTCTTCCCAGAGCGGGTCCGGCCACACCTGTCCTGGCACGTTGGGGCGCCAGTCTTCTTCCTCAACTGTGGGAAATACAGGCCGGCGATGTACGGCGCTCTGGAGGTGTTTTCCAAGCAAGCCCTCGGCAAATATCTCGCACAGCATGGGAGCTGTGAGCATACCTTGCCGTTCTGGTCCTGGGGGGAAGACAAGTACATGGCCGGATGCCTGGAGATGTTGGGAGTTCAGGCCCTGCAAGACTACGGCAACTTCTTGCACGACGAACGTTGCTGGGGCGTAGATTGCGGCAACAAGGCCGCTGTGGCGTTCCACTCGTTCAAAGCCGTGAACAATTGGTACCGCTGCTACCTGTCCTCGAAATGATGCAGCAGTCTTAGCGGAATCGACGAAAGGGTTCCGGTGTGGTTTTTCGACTACGGGTTGTGCACGGCCTTGCAAAATACTGAACTTGATAGGTTTCCGAAAGCCAGCCGTGGGAATTGAAGAACCACATCGGATCCTAGCGGCGGCCTCTGCTAAAAGCAAGGCTCTCCGTGTCGAGAGGAATGGTTCTCTTAAGGGCGAGCGGTCATCCCCCACTTAAGCTCCGTGGCCGTTTGATGACTATGGTTCCGGATGTGGGCGAAGCCATGCAAAGCTCTGAAGCCCCCTTAATGTCTCAATCTGTTCGGTACGGAACCTAGTGGTATGTCCATGCTTGGTGGCGGAGCGCAGGCCCTGACAGTTAGCTATGAGCCGTTGCTCGGGAGCCAAAGGATGCCTCTAAACAAAACTTGCAGCGGTTGCTTTTTTTTGTTTTTTTCGTTTTTTTGCTAGTCGTTTCCCTTCTAGTTTAGCCTCACGGCCTCGGACCCTGACGGGTGCTACACCTGCGAGCTTTGCTGGGGCAGGCTCCTTGTCAATATTCCTGGAGAACAGAGTCTTAGAGTTTAAAACTCTCTGCAAGCTTGCAGGGCTGGGGTCGGACTCGCTTCAGCGTTGAAGCAGAAGATGATGCTCGAGGGGGACAGGGAGGAACGAATCAGGAGTTACTATACTAGCGTCGCGGGTTGACTGACCCTTGCAAGCGCCTGCCGAAAGCGGCATCGAATGGCCAGAAGGCCTGGACAAACTAATTCAGACTCTCATGCTTGATTAGATTATGAGTACTTCAGAATGCACGGTGCCACTTGGGGTCTAGTTGCCAGGACCCCAAGTTGCAGGAAGGAAGCCGACCCCCGGCTCGATGTTCGCTGCTGTGAAAACTGGCTCGTTGGTGGTTTTGGCGCGTTAGTCAGAAGCTTTGAATGTGCGGAGCCTTACCTGGATCGTTGGAGGTGTGCATCCGCAAGCAGACAGCCAAGAATCGACTCAGGCAGACAGCCAACTGATGGGCAGAACGTATGCAAGGCACTGTCCAGCAACCAAGCAAGCATGCAAGCATGTGGAGAAAGATGGAGCTCTAGGTCCACGACCTTGATTGGTTGTGTCGAAGCGTGTAATGATCAAGCCGACAATCAACAACCTTCGTGATGCAATCTTGCAATGCCCTTGGGTTGTCCTCTGGCACGGAGCGATGATCTTCCAGGCTCCGGAGCCTTCTGGGCACTAAGGTTTACACACTGTCTGATGCAGCCAGGAGCTAGAGCGCAGAAGTTCCTGCCACAGTTTCAATGGTGATTGGTAGTTTGGCGATCTACCGAGTGAAAACTGGACACCGATTGGCTGCGTCTTAGAGTAGCATGCGCAAGGAAGGGCTTAACATCGAATGTCTAGCAGACGAGGTGTTCAAGCGGAGGCGTGCTTGCGTCACAACGTTGGCTGGTGAATCTAGTCTGGTTGTTGCACATTGGCATAGTGAGCAGCTTCGCCTTTTTCAACTCTCCGGAGCATGCGCTTGCCTGGAGGCTTGTTTACGGGCCTTCGGCGGAGGACTGCAATTTGTGTCGGGGTGCTGTGCATCTGTTGCTGGAGTGTGAGCAGGAAGATGGCGACCCATAGCAAGGCCACGAAGCAAAAGTGGTGTCGGAAACTTGGACCTTTCGGTGCCCTGAGAAAGAATGTCTGCTGTAAGATCTCCGACAGTGCGAGAGTGCCGTCAGGTGGTCCGGCTTCTGACACGCATGGACGAGGATGAGGAGCTTCCGCGAGTGTGGCTTGGACTGGAACCGTTGCCGCAGTGCAGCGCAGTTTGGCAATGTAGCCCCTTGGAGGTGGGTTTAGGACATGGCCCCTGCGTGACATTGGGCTCACGCTGCGCTGCCAGTGCCAGGGGGCTCACGGGCAAGGTCGGTGACTCAGTCGGCAGCAGAACCTCACGGGGGCTTTCTGCCTGCAAGGGCGACTGATGCAGAACCTGAATTTTATGCTTGTGCAGCTTGTGCTATGTTGCACTGCTTTAGCACGATACGAAGTTGCTTGACTGCTGCCGTTTTTCCTCATCAGCTGCCATAGGAAAACGTCTCATGTGTCGCAGATGCCGCGCAGCCGAAAGGAATTTACAGGTCGAGACTGCTCCATTCACGGCCCAAGCCATGTAACACGACTGGCCAAGATCGGTTTAGAGCCGGATAGAAGTCTGCAGAGTTCGTCTCCTCTAGAATTGCTGACGCAGCCACCGGGACCGCCCTCTTTCAGATTGCAGTGCATAAAACAGCGCCAGTCTGACATTCATACGGTTTTGACAAAGCCACGACCGGTGGGCAATTCCGAGCGCGATGCCTCGGGCTCGGGTCCCAGCTGGCTGGGGGCTTCCGGGCCAGTGGGCAGATGCTTGGAATGTGGCTGATGTGGATGCCAAGATGCTGCAGAAGAAGTGAGTGAGTGTGTGCGTGTGTGTTTGTCTGTCTGTCTGTCTGTCTGCCATGTGTTGTGTTTGGGGATACTGCGTAAGGTTCATCTCCAATTTTTCTTAGCCTGAAGTCACAGCAAGGTTTTCCCATTTGGGAGAGCAGGCTCTAGGCATCCGTAGTCGTCAAAGATTGCCGATGAGCCGTGAGGGCGCCTTCTCCACAGCAGCGGAGTCCTCCGGTCTTACGCCGGAGCCGCGAAGAGAAAAGGCCTCGGCGAAGAAGGAGGCCACCCGACCGAGTGGGGTCGCGTCTGCATCCAAACTCAAAGTCTTCGATGCATCCAGAGAATCTGGAGAGCCATCGCCAGCTCTTGGAGACTGAATCCTTGTCATGGATTACATGACTCTCCCGGCTCCTTTAGCTACGAGCTCCAGCTGCAATCAGCTCCTTGTCAGGAGGCGCCATCCGCATCACAGGCATCCCCCTTGGCGTTTGCCTCGCGGATAGGCTCGGAAGGGAAGGTTCAGGCTAGGCTGAACATCCGATAATTGTTGGCGGCGCCAGTGCAGTAGGAGCTTCTGATTGAAGGAGTTCGAGTTGGAGTCCTACTGCACTCTAGTCCCGAGTTTGGTTTCCGATGAAAGCCAGCTTTCTGGCGGTCTCGCGTTGGAACAGCCAAGTCGGGTGTCATCACAAGTGCTGCCTCACCCGGCATGACTTGAGTTTGTGGGATAGTGTGGCTTCAATTGTCTCTGGCACCCTGGCTCTATCCTGCAGGTGACCTGATTGAGGTGAAACGGCTCCTCGATGCGAAGTCAGACCCCAACTCGGTCGATGCGGTGCCTCAGCCTGCATAGGCATCCGTGGATCTCAGCTTTGCCCAGTCATCACAATCATCGTAATTTCCATTCTCATTCTGTCACCGTTTCCCTGGTGCAGCACAAGCTAACAAACGAGCCTGCAAGACACTCAAAGGCTGGTCGCGTGCACTCGGTTCTCTGAAGCCCCAGGCCATGGGATGTATAGTACTTAGTAGACACTAGAAGTATCCTTCCTACTGATAGCTCGTGGCAAGTCATCGCCAAGGTGGGGGAGACTCCACTTTTTGAGGCAGCAGCCAGTGGGGACGTCAGTGCCACCCGGCATGCACAGTGTCACGTGATATCATCTTCTCGATGGACGGCCGCAAGCGCCAGAAGCCTGCCCTAGGTTTTGGCCAGCCTTCTCCTTGCAGGAGCCGATCCACAGCAGCATCTCTCAAATTGGAACCCATGGGCGTAACGGGGTTAGAGCAGTCGCACGGGGCCCAGCAAACGAGGCATGGATTGAAAGCCCATTCGTCTGAGTCATAGAGGTTTTAACAAAGAGTTAGCCGTACTCCGACATGCTGCTCCTACAAGAGCTGGAACAACGACGCCACCGTTACCGCCACCGCCATCGCCACCGCCACCGCCAAAATGAAGAAGAAGAAGAAAAAGAAGCAGAAGAAGAAGAACACCGTCAAGAAGAAGACAAATTCCTGCTGCTGCTACTCCTCGCGCTCCTCAGCCAGCTGCTACTGCTGCTGCTGCCGCCGCTGCTAGTACCACCACCACCACGACGGCGACTACTACTAAGTTACTACTACTGCTACTGCTTCTGCTTCCACTACACCTGCTGCTCTTCCTGCTGCTGCTACGACTCCTACCGCTACTGCGCCTGTTGCTGCGAGGAGCAGACAGCAATGTTAGCAAGGCTTGAAGGAGAAGAGTAACTATCGGCCATGGCTGTGCTGCACAAGCTGCAAGCCCTTCGAAAGTCTCCCAAACCGTCCTCAAGGCCCCAAACCGCCTCAGAGGCATCAGTCCTTTATCGGCTCCTTGGCCAGTGACCTTTGCTCCAGCGAGGCGAGGAAACAAACGTGAAAGAGTCTGGCTTTTGGCCTTGTAAGGCTTGCTGCAGCACTTCCAAAGATAGCGCAGGTCGTAAGCCTCCGTAGGCTCACGCATGCTCGTGGAAGAGGATGATGCAGCGCTGGGGTGCTGGGAGCTTCCGATTGAACCAACCTTGGGCAAGGTCTCTAAGCCAGCGATGTCTTGCTTGCCACATCTCACTTGGTGCAGAGGCGTGTGCCACGCTGCTGCGCCTTTGCTCCGGGGAGGAAGTGCCTCGGCAAGCTCTGAGGATTCCAAAGAAAGGCTTCAGAATGCCAGTCAGCCCAGAAATTCTCGGCTCCAGGGACTGCAGCCAGACCTTTGCTCACCCCGCCTCCCCACAGTGGCACAGCAGGACTTTTTTGTTGCCAGGCTTCCCCTGCGGAGCGCGAGGAGGTGCTCCAGGCGCTGGCCCCAAACCTGCGGCCGCCTATTCGGTGCACTGGCTCAACTTGGAGTCTGTGCTTCTAGCTCCGCCTCTTGTGGGTGGTGTTGCTTCTTCGATCTCGCAAATCTTCAGAAATGCAAGATTGAAGATTCTGCTTCTGTCCAGCCTGGGGGATTTGGATTTCGCGGCTTTGGAGCACTGCGACCGCTACATCCGTGACATGAAAGCTGGTATGTGCAAGAGCCGCGATGCCTGCGGATGTGACGACTTAAGTTGGTGGGCACAGGCATGGTTCGAAGATGTTCGAAGCAGATTTGCACGCCTGGAGCCACTTTCCACTTGTTGTGCGACAGGTCTTTCATGCAAAGTCTCAGTGGGGAGCCGGACAGTGACGACGAAGCGGCTCAGCGGCAGCTGTCGCTACTGTAACCGTTGAATCGAGGACTTGCAGTCAGGTGGTAATTTCAGGTCGAGCATCAATCCGGCTTTCGCGCAGTGCTTGGTTGTGTTCCTCGAGCGGGCTGCGAAGCTTGCGCTTACTGGACTCTACACTCGAAACCTCTGTGGCAGCAGAGGCGCATCTAGATATCGACTTCGATGCGCCACCGGCCTTGATTCGCAAAAACTATGATGACGAGGAGCAGAAGTGGGAGGGAGCGCACACAAATCCTCTGAAGGCTCTTCAGAAAGATCACCTCTTTATCTAATGGGGTGCTTTCTAACATGTGGCACAGGACGGGGATGACTGGACCTTCGCAGCTCTTCGGCTGCATTTTGAGCTGGAAGGCATCTGAGAGGAAGGGTCTAGCTTCAAGAGACCGGACAGTATTATGATGTTTGATGATGTTTGCAGTGACGCCCTGCTCTTTGCACTCACCATCCTGGTATGGTAGCGGGCTGCGAGCCGAGGCAGCCATGGTCGAGCAGGCCCGGAAGTCGCGCGCGAAGCAGAGGCACAAGCGCAATGCGCCTTGGATGAAACCGTCTGCATTCAACAGCACTCCACAACTTTTTTCCTTTGTGCCACCACGGTGTGTGTGGCCGAGTGCAAGATTTACGACCAAGGTCCCTGTCGAGCCCATCGAGCTTGTTGCAGCTTTCAGCAACATCAGGGAACGGCCGTCACTGTGGCTTGTGGTGTGAGTCAATTCCAGGACGTTCAGTTTCGGGATGCAAATCTGCCACTCGCAGCTGGATCGGCTGGGTGGAGAGTGGAGAGTGGCAGCAAGGCATACAACGCACTTTTTGCTCGAACATGTCCCAGGTATGCCATGCACTCAATGACCGCCAGACGACGCTGAAACTAATGAGCACCTCGGCTATGTTCTTGATGTTTTCTGCGACAGCCTGCCTTGTGTTTAAGCTGAGCCGTCGATGGCACACGGCTTTGACGTCGTACCCTAGCCAGCCTCGCTTGTGGAGTCCAAGTTGCGAGAGTCCAACCTGCGAGAACACAGCCTGCTTCTGACAATTAGATCGCTTGGTCACCTCCACAGCCATGCGAGGCAACAGCACCTTTGCAGATGCGAAAGACACTCGGTACCAATGATGGGCTCAGCAGGTCTTGGATCTTGGGTTCTCCCAGACTACTGCTTTTGCTTGCTCACTGATGCGCATATTAGTCTTGACGAAATCATCGTGTCAGCAGGCCCTAGGCCCTAGAGAATTCTCTTCGACTGCTTCGCCAAGGATGCTATATACCAGCGCTTGAAGGAGGAAGGGAAGTACTTCCGCAAGTTTTACTTCGCCACATCCTCGAATGTTGGCCTTGCCAAGCCTACTATGAGTCTGTAGACGGTGCAAAGCAGGCATGCTTGCCGAAGCTGCGATGATGAGAGCGTCGATTCTTGCGTTTCCTTTGGTTCAGCAGCGAGGTGAAGAAGGAACGCAGCACGTACCAGGCGTACAAGGAGCGGTGTTGGCTTGGCATGCTGTTGCCTGGTGCATCCTAGTGCCATTCCGAGCTGCCAGGACACAGACCAGATTGGACACATCCGTGAGGTCGCCTGAATCGGAAATCAGCGGAAGATAGCAGCATCTCTTGCTCGAGCGTGGAAGCACTGACTGCGTCAGACCGATTGCTCCGCTGCAGTTGAAGAAGACAACACTTGAGCTAGTTCGCTGGATCAAACTACCCCTTTGCTGGCGGTTGTACGGACCCAACCAGCTGCATGTAACAATGTACCTATGAGTCCACATGTCTTGCAACAGTGCGCAGGTCCGATTGGTTGGTGCAGATCTGCCTCTGGAGTCCAATGCTGGAGCCCTGCTCTTTGGCGACTGCCCCTGGACAGAAATGACCTTGCCAGATCATTCAGAGCACGCTGGTTGTACATTATGGTTTATGCTAGAAGACGGCCAGTGTTCGGGCCGGAAACTACGAGGTAGCAGGTCTGGAATCCTTCACTGAACAGCCGAGGAACAAGTGTCATCACATGCTTCGGGGCAGAGTTGTACATACTGGCACTTGCCAGAAGACGAAGAGACGAAGACGATGCCCTCAGTACTGGTTGACGCAGCATTGCACAGAAGCTTCTGCGGCTGTGCGGTTGCAGTACCGCAGTAGGAACGAAAAGGACGACGAGTCTTTATCTCCGTCTTGTGGCGAGTCTCAAACACGAAGAATCGCAGAATGCTCGTTTCGAGTCAGCTGTGGCCAGCCACACGTTTCCCAGCTTACGTCGAGGAACCGGACCTCAATCAACTCTTTAAGTGTAGACGGGCGGCAGTATGCGATGCCGTGTGAGTTGCTCTTGACTTCGTTGACCGTACATTGTGAGAGTCAGAGAGAGAGACCACGGGCAGCCAAATGGACGCGTCAAGCATTCCGACAGCTCGTGGGGGCGACCTGCCCATCCTGTAGTCGAAAAAGCGCGTCGTTCTGTGCTACAGCGGGTGCAGTCCGCCAGTGCAGGGAGGGGAGGTGCAAGAGTACATGAGAACGAGTGCACTGAAGGCTGAGGCCTTCGGTGCCCGAGTTCCGCTTCGCATTGCAGCATCTCAGCGTGGTGGTCGAGGTGGGCTCGGGCTGCTCCGCTGTGCACAAAAGCTCCAGAGCCGCTTGTCAAAGCTGCAGGTGTTTTCGCGGGAGCTCCTATCGCTGCAGGGGAGACCGTCGAAGTGTGCAGCCCGGCTGTGGTGAACAAACCGTGCTGTTGGGTCACACTTCTTGTGCCAGCGCCGGTTCATCCTGCCTCCATTTTTGTTGCCAGACGCCGAGGCCCTGTCTTAGCCCTTCGACGTGATCACATTGATGCAGACTGCGCCGGAATGCGCTACTTTTTCAGCGGCTCGGCTGGTTCGATCGCTCCTCGAGATTCGTAGGCATGGGTAGGTTCCGGCTGTGTCAAGGGGACTTCCAGATCCGAGCATTGGCTTGAGGTTGTGCCTGCTGCACTTAAGCTTGTGTTCAGGCTTTCGCGACGCAGGGAAGCCTCCAGGGAAGATTGCTGTACCTGTCGACCATGCTCGATCCTTGACATAAGTGGCTCAAGTGTGGGACAGCAGCAGCAGCCATCTAGTGCGGAGCCAATATGTCGACATCTGCGAGCACTTTCAGGACCGCAGGGATGTTTTCGTTCGGAAGGTCGATGGGCAAGGGCGTTGAGTCCGGCAGTGAAAGGAGCAAGATCGGCAATGCGTATCCGAAGTCAGAGATCGAAGATCAACAGCCTCAGCATCTCGGTCGCAACGTCGGCAGCGTTAAGCCAATGACGGAACACTTTTCAGGCTGAAAGCGGAGCTGGCTGCCATGAAGAAGATGGGACGCAACCGACAGTGCCGCATTTGCTGGGTTGTCGTGTCATCCCGCTTTTACCGGCGCCCTAGCTTGCTGCCACATCAATCGGACCTCCCAGATGGCGACAACTTTTAGTTGCCCATAGGCCATAGGGATGCGGGCGCAAGTCGAGTGATCGTTCCGGGACGCTTTCGCTAATTGCGATACACGGGTTTTGGCATGAGCTCCTCAACGAATTTTACTTCGGGTTGACATCTTGGGTTCTTAGCTGCGCGAGTTTGTGTGCAGGTGCTTTGACTGTGGCGTAGCAGATGTCAGCTGGGCCTCGCCGAAACTGGGTACATTCATCTGTGTGCCGTGGCTTCGAAGGGACAAAGCCTAATCGTTGCACCCCCGATTGTGCACTCAATTCGAGGTCACTTGCTCCGATGTGCATCGGGCCGCCGGTGCTCACATCACCTGCGTCAAGACGCTCGGCTGCAGCTTCGAGTCCAGAGCCGCCACTCCACACTCCTGTCAGTTAAACAGCTAACAGTTAAGCGGGTACCGGTACAATTAGAAGGGGAGCATTCTCAGTGAAAATGCTATCCGTGCTCTCTTGAGCATGACCATGTGACCGTGCGCTTCTGGCAAGGAACTTCAGCACCTACCTCTGGTCTCCGGACGAGGCATAGACGACTGCATGGACGTGGATCTTTCAGGGCTCTCAGGTAGGATTGAAGGTCAGAAAACACCAGCCCCAGGCTTGCTCGGAGTAGCTCCGAAACCTTGCGGCAGCATGAACTACTTGTACGGCCAGGTAGAGCTGATGCGCGCCGTTGGCAACACTCGTGCGAAGGCGCGTTGCTGTCGTGTGTCACCAAACACCACGAATGTGGAATCCAGTGTCGTGAGCCGGTTGGGGGTCTGCACGTGTCCTACTTTAGTGCCTGGCAAGAGCAGCTGGAGCATTGGCCAAGAAGCACAGGCACCTCACCTCTGCTCAGCATCCAGTCTGATCGCATGGTTCGCCAACTTTCGCCAAGTTGTAGCGGTATTACTTTGTGAGACTACACATCCACATCCGACGCGTCGCAGCGAGTCGCCTGAAAGCAACTTTTCAAATCTGAGTCCACATCCCGCATTGGTACTCCATTCAGCGAGCTGTCTTTTCTGATGGCAGAGTTAGTCGTTGCTATGAGGAAATCTTCCGGCCGGGGACCGACCTCTCCTGGCAGCCTGGCGAGTCCAAGGAGCAGAAGGCAGGGAAGTCCCACCCCAGCTGCTGACAATGTACATTCTCCAGATCTTGTGAACTGTTGCAAGCCTGTCCCGGGTGCAAAACCTGCTCTGTCTTGTTGTCTTGTTGCTCGCTTACGAGCATGTCAACTTCATGCCTGGTGTGTAGCTACATGCCATACCGCTGTGAGTAAAGGTGCAGGGGGGATTTAGAGGGCTTGGTGCAAATATGCGCAGATCAAACGGAAGTCCGTGTTGGACTGCGCGGGAAGCCTTGTGGCCGTTTTCTTGATTCGGACCTGCCTGCGGATTTCACACCTATATCGCATAACTCACTTGGTCCAGGTGCGGCATTGCACGAAGCTTTACGGAACAGAGAAAGCACAGCTTGCGGTCAAGCGTCACATCGAGGCAGCTTCTCGGCTGCCGCACTTTTAAGATTTTAAGTCATAACTTTTGTTGATGTGTAGCCTCGATGCTTCACTCGAGACCCAGGCCACGGCAGCAGCGGGCCCAGGCCGGAAGGCTGAACAGGTAGCTTCGCAAGGCTACAACCAGAGCCTTCCGAGCCAGCCTGCCACACCTTCCCAGAGCGTCTGCACGCCAGCTCCTGCAGCTCCTGACTTGCTGGGAGACTGGCCCACGACAGAGCCCGAAGCTGTAGCACCGAGCCACGTCTCTTCATGGCCCGCAACGTCTGGGATGGGTACGTCCGTGGGACCGTGGCCGTGCCCATCGTCTGCGCCAGAAGCCATCACCGCACAGTCCCGTGGCCAACCAAATCTACATAGGTTGTCGGAATCGACCAGATCGATTTGAGGTTCTGTGCCTGCTTACCAGGATCCGCCCCATTGAAATAATTTTTTGTTGTGGGTCATTGGATGATGACAAGGGGTACTACCAGCAGATGTTGTATGTGAGGACTGCTAGGACACACAAGCTGAGGCACGACTTGATAGACCTTTTCCCGTCGTCTACTATGGATAGTGCTTGGCACGGAGACTGCGGCGCGCCAGCTTCTTCTCAGAGCTGCGGGAAGGCAGCCACAGTCTCTTCGCATGAGAAGGACGGGGCATGTGCGGGTAGCTGAATTAAGACAGCTGCGCACCTTGACCAGTGGCGCAAGTGCATGCACAGTTTGGCTCCTGATGTGTCGGCATTCTTGCGTGCGCTTTGTCCAGGATTTCTGGTCCAGTGTGAACTGGGACGAGCTGCTCAAATGATTTCGCACATGTGAGCCACTTGATGAAACGAAGTAGGGAGAGAACCTGCTCAGTGCAGTGCCAGGCACAGGCATGTACAGCGGTCCATGAGCGGCATTCGCCTTTGGACGTGTTTGGCAGGATGGGCAGAAAAAGTGAGTTGTGCATCAGTGTCTCCATGGTGGTGGTCACCGCCGCCCATATCTCGACGTGACAGCAACCGCAAGCCATCGCAAGCTCAGAAGACTTCGGGAAGCCTGGAAAATCCCCAGCCCTACTAATTGCAAAGTCACACGACCTCGGCTACTCTGTGCAGCCAGCGGGTTCACTGTGCGCATGTGTGTGGCCTCGGCTTTTTGAGAGACCGAACGAACAAGCAACACAGCACGTGGAGGTGCAGATTCAAGCACAAGCCTTGGTCGCGATGTGTCTGTGCATGACTAGAAGAAGATGTGTTCCCAGCAGCTTAGGCTCTAGTGACAAGCAGCTTTGACTATCGGCAGTTCCAGTCGTCCTGAAAGTCACATGATTTTTCCCGAATCCCTCAATGAGGATCTTCGTAGCTTCCGAACCCTGATGCCATGCTCCTGTACTACAACAAGAGCTTTCTGGGCCTACTGGTTGAGCGTCGCGGCAGTGTCTTCTATAGACCTGGCTCGCTGCCGCTTGGGCACACTCACAATCAGCTTCAGGGTTAAGAGTAGGGGAGTCGCAACTCTTCAGCGTGGCCTGAAACAGGTCATCACGGAGGCTTTTCTTGCCTCTGATCTTTCATTGTTGATGTCCCGATTCGGGTCCTGAGTCCAACCGTTTCGCTTCATCTGGGCTCAATTGTGTTTTATTTGGATGGTTGGCGATTGTCAGCGGTAACATTTCAGGAAGCAGAAATAGAGAGGGAAGGTGGCTGATGGCAGCCCTCGTCTCATGTCATGCATTTGGGCCTCTTGTGCTCCCCCAGGTTTGTAGGGGTCTTCTTGTCCGCACTCGGCGGAGCCCTTCAATACTGGCGCGACCGGCGGGAAGCAGAAGATGAGTGGGCACAGTGGGCTCCAGATATCTTTCACCACTACGGGTTCCAAGCCGTCGGTGCTGGAGTGCCAAGGAAAGCGTTTAGTGTAGTTGGCTGTTCTAGACAGATGTTGCTGTTGAAGTCTGGCTGTCTGTTGTCAGTCCGTCTGTGAGGAGGGAGGACTCCCGGCTGAGTCAATGTTGCTCTGCGGGAATCTTCCGAGGTCACTTTTGCAATTGTTTTCCGCACGCAACTTGCGTGGAATCGGTATTGGGAAGCCGTGACACAGCTCCATTTCATGTACAGCAAGTGGGCCGATGCGCTGCTCGACCGATGATTTATTGCATCTTTCAATACGCGGAAGGTCTGAAGGGCATTGAAGGCCGACCCTCGCCAGCTGAGGTTCTCGCAGTTTCAGGCGTTTGCAGAAGTGACGAAGAAAGCTGCGAATGGCAAGGGGGACACAGTGCATCTTGCCTCAACGTGCTTCGAGAACTATTCTTACGGAAAGCTTCCGCAGCCAAGGAAAGCCGACCGGATACGACAGAAGCAGAAGCGGATCAAGGCAGCCTGTGCATTGCCACTGGTTCTGGGGAGGCAATTGCCACCTTCAGTTGGAGATGGACATGGTTTAGTTTAGGGAGCAACGCTAAACGTGCGGCTGGGAGTTCAATCCACGGTAGCGAGGGCAACAAGACCTCCCCACGAAAGGTCAAAGAGCAGGCGCTCTGCCCAACTGGACCATCTCAACAAAAATTTTCGCAGCCACTGGTTTAGAACAATGCACGGGAGCAGACGTTTCCCAAACCGCACCTCCGAGCCAGGTGAACTATGCCTTGCTCAGTGCCTTTGCCGCCGACCGGCTGACCGCTGGAGACCTGGCTATAGAATATTCAATAATCAAAGCATCTCAAATTGCTTCCGGGGTTTGAACGGGGCAAATCGTGCGGGGCCGGGAGTCGTCTAGCTCCTGGCTCTGCCGCAGCGGGCTTGCCTTCCGCTGTTAATGATTCAATAAGAGGAGATGCGTGCTTTGCTGAAGAAGGGGTCATCGAGACCTGCGTTTTCGGAGTCGTCAGACGCTGCTACGAGGGAGCCAAAAGATTCAATAAGAGTGACTCAGACAGTCCAAGACTGGGCCTGCTCGTGTTGTTCGAGCATGGATAAGAGAAGGGACAGTTTTGCCAGGAGACAACCAGCGCATGGAGGAAGTGAGCGTCAGCAGGCAGGGTCTACTGCGCGATACTCCCTGCAAAAGGGCCTTTCTTAATACTTGGGATGTTTCACAGGGGCGAGACTTTCTCCGGGCTCGGGGTTTGATCACGAAGACGCCCTGAACGACCCGAAACTATGCCATGCCTAGCCCGGCTTCATTCATGTCCTGCTTCGAGGGCAAGAACCCGTGCGACCATGCGGGTGGACAAGGAACAAAAGAGATTTAGCATGCCAGAGATGATCGAGACCCGGCACTTTTTTGGTGGTGCTTGCCCTCTTTTCGGTCAGTTGACTGTTGGGAAGAACAGATTCGGGATGCAGCTGATGTAGGATTCCCTCACACGGACGCAGGCTGCAGATAGGGGGATCAGGGGAATGAGGTGCTTGCTGTGTGCAGATGTTGGAGCGAAAGTGTCCGAAGCTTAGGGTTTGCGTGGACAAGTTGCTTTGCCATTTGCAGTCCAACCACATGGCCTACGAGACAAAGTCGGAGAAGAGTAGGTAGACATTAGAATAGAAGAACGATGCCAATAAGTTTCATGAGCTTAAGCTGCAATAGTGATCAATAGTGCAGACAGAGGGACGGCGCTGGCAGAGTCCGACCGTCTCAGGAACGCCAGGACCACGACAGGACCAAAACCGATGATGGATTGTACGTGGTCTTTGGGGTGCCTTCAGACGACCAGGTCAGGCTGCTTGCCAGGAGCTTCGAACCTTGGAGTACATTCATCATCCCAGTAGGAAAGCGTCGGGATTGGGTCTGTTATGGTCTGCTTCAGGATGCTGCAGGTATCAGAAGCTCATGATTTCATGTCTACTATTGGAAAATAGCCTTGCAGCTGCATGATAGCAGTTTGCGGAGCAGTGGGCAGTCTGTAGTTGATGGTAGTTGGCAACCTAAACTAAGGATACCGTGGCCACGATCATGTACTGGATCATCTGGGACCTGGCAGATGCGATGAAAGACATTGACATCGCGCCCCCAATCCAATCCCGAATGTACCAGGAGCGAGCTGCAGGGGCTGTCCTCGATGGGTTTCAGCAGCAAAGAGTAGAGCGAGCAGAGAGATGGGAGGTCGCGGGCTCACCCGACTGATTTCAGCCGAAAGTTCGCACGAAAGTTAGAAAGGATTGCCATGTTGCGTGGGAGCGGCCGCAAACAGGAGCTCTCCAATGGCATGTGGCCGGACTCAGCGCTTGAAGCATTTCTGGGCGAGTGCGAGAGTAGTCAGAGTAGTCGAGACGACTGGCGACAGCATCACTTTTTGAATTGAGATGTGCGAAGTCCTCTGCTGGATTGCAGAGAGGACAGCAATATGTGATTGCAGCTACAGGAACTGGCTGTTGAGTGACCGCGCACATGTGAGCTTGCCAAGACAAGCCCTTGATGAGGTTGGGTTTCAACAACTGCCTGAAGATAGCTGATGTTCCCTTCCCGCTGCCTTTCGCGCAGCTGTTGGGGATGTTGCTGGTGGCGTCGTTTGGCCCGATATGACAAGAGGTCATGACTGTGTCCTGCCAGACCACTGATACAGCTGTGTCTGAGGTTTTCTGCCTTCATCCCAGTCTATGTCATCGTTTTCACCCGGTCGCCCATAGCAGGGCCGATCCTGTGCCTTGTTCGGATTGCAGGTGCTTGACATCTGCAGCTCCTAAACTGACGAGTTTTTTTGTTTTGAGATTTCTTCTGGAATTCGGAACGCGAAGAGCACTGGCTGGAGTGGCATCAGGTGTTTCCTGCTCTTTGAGTCCTTGTGGTGCCTCAATGAAGTGGCAAAAGAGCTGGAGAACCCGCCGCCCAGCAGCAAGAATTTTTTGGGTTGTTTCAGAGATTCTTTACGAGTCCGTCAGAGTGCACCCGAGCATGCCACCTGGCTCTGCGAGCCGGCAGCCAAGGTTTGGGCACGATTCGAATGATATTACCCTATCCGTGCCTTGACAGCCTGAGACATGCGCCATTCTGCCTCTGGGAAGCGGGATCAAATGCCAGTTGTTGGAAAGCACAGCTTGGAGGACTTTCACCTGAACTTCGTGGACTCACTTGAGGACATCAGCATGGCAGAGCAACAGGTACTGCTGCACATGCCAATCGTGCTCCCCGAAGAATCCCTACCCAATTGTGGCTTGGTAAAACAGTTTCTGACACCAGATTCATGCAGTAGCCGCGGGCTTGCTGTTTTGATCAGTTGCTTTGCTTGGTGGACTGAAATGCTCAGGCTCCGAAGAAGTCCCCTCTGAGGTGCCGAAGTGACATATGTGCGGCATCAGACTCATCGACATGATTTACTCTCATGGCTTGTCTCTCACACGAGAGAGGGCAGTCTCACCAAGTGCCTTGTTCTTGGATTACGCAGCGCAAGTCTCGGCCGAACCTCGTCAAATCTGTTTGTTTTGGATACCAGCCCAAGTTTGCGCGAACTCGAAATACAAAGGATCGAGTCATTGCGGCAGCAGGTTCGGTACAGTCCTACAGCGTAGCACTAGGAGGAAGACAGTGCATTTTGGGGGTCATTGGGAAAAGTTTCCGGCGAAACGCCTTGCAGCTGCAGATCAATCTCACTGCGCTGGTGAGAGTTAGGGACTTGGCGGTAGCCTCTGTGTAGCGGTCAAAACGCAGCTGCTGCTTCTGCTTGGCATATAGATCCAACGTGCTCTGACACGGTTCTTAATGTATTGCACTGTCTCACAAGAGATATCTGGCCATGATATGCTTCCAGGGTCGAGTTAATGGTGTCTTGCATCGCCCAGGTGGTGCAGATGGAGACATTCTTCTTTGTGTGCTGGGCTTCGGCATGCTGTACAATCATGTACCTTGGCCGCATACGCTGCCGTTGACCGGTGCACTCAAGTTGCAGGTGATGCGAGAGTGTGGCAAAAGCTCTTTTGAGACCAAGCTGTTGGCGCAAGCGTCCGGAAAGCAGCCCCCTCTCAGCATGCACTAGCACTAGTGTTTATTTGGGCTGACACTTGGCGCAAACTCGCCTTTTGGCGACAGTTGTGGATGCAGCGTCGAGAGAGTGAGCGACGATGCCCGACCACACACCTGCTAACTGTGTTTCCGTATTGGCTTTTGTTAGGTATTGCTTATTCAGCAGTGCTCCCTGGTCTCCGACAGATGCTTCTAATGTGAGGTGTGAGGGCACGGCAAATTTGAGCTATGTGGCATGGTGGCAAGCAGTCTGCAGAGGGGGATGTTTGTCAGGATTCCATAATTTTCTAGCTCTCCCGCTGCATAAGTGGTTGGGTCACCCGCTGTCTTTGGGCCCGAACTCTCTGGTGTGTGGCTAGAGTTTTTGCTCAGTGCTGTTTACGTAAAGTGTATCGTGGCTTGTGCTGTGCGGCGTGGGATTTTCTTGGCAGCTACTGTAAAGCACAGAGTTGTAGTCAACCGTTCTCCGGCCGTTCTTCGAGGCTCTCCGCACGCCGCCCGAAGATGCCCGCGATGTCTCAGCGGCACATTTACAGGGTCCATAGTCTCCATAGTGCCTAGCTCTGAGCAGACGGCCCAAGAAGCAGCCGGCCCAAGTGGCTGCCGAAGCTCCGCGAACCAGGGACCCACGGCTGTCAGAAGTCCTTGAACCCTGCTCCTTGCCCGCCAGGACGGTGATGCAGGGGTTTGTGTGCACTTTGCAGCAGCCAGGGCCATAAAGGCACGAGCTTGGCCCGAACATTTGTTAACAACGTCCTCTGCAGTTCTCAACTACGTGCTTATTGGTATTGTCGACCTGGATGTCGTTGCAGGAGGGCGAGGAGTTGCTCATTGACTACTCCCAGCGCCGCTCGGGCAGAGCTTACTCGCACAATCAAGCCATGCACGATCCTCAACTTTCCAAGTTGGTCCAGTTCAAGCCACACTTGCAGAGAGACTCGGGCTGCTGCCTTCATAAGGGATGCCAGATCTGAGCAGTACGATGCTGGTTTCGGTTAGGTTTCGCTTTCCTCGCGAATTAAGTTTGGTGTAAGCAGGGGTCTTGCGGGTTGAGCGCGATGGAGTCCTTGTCTGCCTCGCACCACGTGGCCGCAGCAGCTTCCGCCTCCTGTGGCGTAGGGTTTAAGCGTAGACTGATGTCGAAAGCGGACCTCGCCAGCCACAGCAGCAGCAACACCGTAGTACATCGTAATCGTAAGGGTAAGCGTGGTGTCAAGCGAAGTGAAGCCGTTGTTGCAACCCCAAACTTTTTGCCCTGCCTAGCGACTCGCTCAGCAATTCATAGCAAGTCAGTAGGCCATGAAACATGAAACGCCAGGATGAAACTGTTTACTCTGGCACGATTCCTTTTTTGGCATGTTCTTCTGCACTTCGCTACCCTCCCATGCTGGAGCAACGTATCTGAATGCTTGGATCTGGGCCTTGCTCTCATGGCCGAACATGGGCAGCCGATCGCTCCTGCGTAATGGCGCACTGCCCGATCCTAGGTGGCTTGCCGTTCTAGCCAGCTTGTGCATGACGGTTTGTGGGGGGGGGGGGGGGCAGACGCACCTATGTACGCAGAGCATGATTGAACATAGCTCCGGGGAATTGCGCTTGTGATTCAGACTTCTGCGTGGGCGAGCCTCTTATGTGACTGCTGAGGAGTTTGCAGGATATTGCGCGGCGCCCCTTTCAACACTGACACTGGGAACGATGATCGTACAGCCAAGGATGATTGCTAGGCAGTGTGCAGCGAGTCGTGCGAAGAAGCAAGCCGGGCCCGTCCTCAGAACCAAAGTGCCGAACGCACCACACACACACAATCCTGTATCGGAAGGTTTGGGCGAGTTAACGAAGGAGCTCATCTGCTGCCTTCCAGTTGATGAGCCTTGCCCTGATGAGGGGGAGAAGTGCTTCGTTCGTGTCTCTAGGTTTTGGTGGGCTGCCCGGGGCCCGGTGCTGTTTTCCTTGATCAGTCGCCCGGCGCGCTAAGGACGTGTTCCGACTCTCCTTTGCTTCAGGCGGTGTGCAAATTCCTTGACAGTATTGTTTGACAGCGGCATTCACTATCACTGGCAATTCATTACAAAGCTGAGACCGACACGGTTGACCTGTGTTTCTTTTGCATGGGCCCATTTCCCTCTGCACGAGGGTTCTTGTCTGCTCGCATGTTGTGCCCTCCAGCTGCCTGCGGCGGCCTCTGCCGAGTGGCGCTGCGCAGTCTCCGTCTCCAGGCCTTTGGCCCTGCCGCCGCCGAGGCCTCTGGCATCATGCAACATCGCATTTTAGAATGTCTGGCACGGCTGTGAGTATACTGCGAGCCCTGCCGAATCCTGATTTATGCGTCTCACCCTTGTCTTCTGTTGCCTGCCCGAAGGCTCTCCTGCGCCTGGTGGCTCTGCAGATCACCGACCGAGGTGGTGATTTTCGAATCCCATTCACCGCCAAAGTTCCGGTGTTGAGTCTCAGGCCATCTTAGGCTCCAGGCCCTACCTGTAGGCCCTGTTGCTGCAACTTTGGGCTGTCTCCCTCAGGAGCCAGCATTGTGGAGATTGACGCTGCCTTCTGCCGTTCCATCACGAACGAGCCCGGGCATGTTCAGAGTTATGCAATTCGTGCCGCTTTGTGATCCATCTGACGGTTTGAATTGGGCATAGTGTGGGAAGGGCCCAGCAAAAAAGGATGGAGTACACACAGGAAGTATTCCACATCCGTGAGCTGTAGACCTTGAAAGACGACATTGGGATGCACACGCAGAGTGCGACGGAAGCTCAGTGGGTGCACGATGAGGATCGACAAGGGGAAGATTCCTTCATGAAGGAGCAAAGGCATTCCAGGCTTTCTCAGATGTTTTAGCTGCGAACATTTCACAGGTTGTTGAGGTCGGCAGGGGTACAGGGCCTGGCGGGTCTGGACTTCGACGAGCAGACCTTGGTAGCGGTAAAGGTGGGCCTGTCCGGCCAGAGTCGGACGCTGGAGCCGGCAGAGCTTTGAGCATTTGCGGGAGAGCTCTTTTCTGCTAGCCCGAGATGCACATTATCAAACTCTGCCCACCTGTGCCTTCATCTCTCACGCCCTGGAAGAAGAAGAGAAGGCAGAAAGACGTCGAGATGCATGCATCGCACGAATGCCTTTGTGCACGAATGTGCGAAGTCGAGACCGGCCCGGCAGACCGAGACCTAGTAACCTAATAGCGGCAAAGCAGACTTCTGGGCCAATCTACTCAGGAGACCCTCAAGGCGCTCCCAGTCCTTCCGGCGCTGGAAGTCTTAAACCTTGACGGGTGCCAGGACGTAGATGACGAGGCACCGGCGAGTGTCGGGCTGTAGATTTTCGCAGTGGGAGACAGAACCACATCCGTGTGATAGCCTGGTGACCGATTCCCGACACTGCAACGAAGGATAGAATGCGTCATTGTGTAGAAGCCGTTCAGAATGTCATGGAGCTGAGGGTGCTTCTTCTCAACTTCTCGCATGTCGCGCGTGCGAGAGCGTGCAGTGTAGACGCCAGAATCCTCCCTGCACTATTCCAGGGTCTCATCGCAGTGGCTCAGCGCTGCCGCTCTCTGCGGAGCTTCAGCATTTATTGGAATGTCAAGGCCTGCTTCGCCCCGCAAAGGGCACAGCTCAGAGCCGGCTGAGCTTGTGGCAGAGGTAGAGTCAGGTAGTCAGTAGTCAGGACACCAAGAAAGCACCTGAGCACCAGTCCTGCAGGCCACAGACGAAGGTATCGGCAAGGTGCTCCGAGCCCAGCCATGTGGCAACCTGCAGGTTGCCCGGTGTGGGAATCAGATTCGCCTGAGAGCGTGCTGACTGTCGCCTCTTTGTCGCTCTCGCCATCCTTCATCTCAGGAGCTTTGCTTTAGTGGCTGCAAACTTCTCACCGATGCCACGGCGCGATCCCAAGACACAGGGTAAGCGCGAGACTCGCTAGACCATGCCCTCGATGCAGGAACACATGTCTCCATCACATTCTATCATGTCATGTTTCTGTTGCACAGGTGCAGCGTGTTGTGGGGCGGGCAACGAACCTGCAGCGATTGGACCTTACGCGCTGCCCACGAGCTGCTCGGCCAAGCCAAGCACAAATTGCCCACGCACTTGCAGGACGCGACATGTGGGCGGGTTACAGGTCGCGCGCGCCCAGCGGCCTAGCGGCTCAACTCAAATGAAGCCAGCGTCTTAGGTGTCCGAGATGGGCATTACGCTCATCTGCGAGACGCTGCCAGAGCTACGCGTTCTGCGGCTCTACGCAATGCTCCCGCCTTAGGTGCGAGGAAGGGTTTCGTGCCTTGAAGTCCATGGAAGTTGTTGATCGCCCGCCTTCCCCCGTGCTGATACACACGCCGCTGAGAGCTTCTGGCATTGTATGTGCATTGCCGGGGGTAGTGCAGGCATTGCTGAGCTCAGTCGACCCAAATATGGCAGAGTGATCAAACTCGACAGACATGCAATGCGGTCTGACGTAACTTTGAACTTAGAACTGTGAAACGGCTGAGCTGAGCTCCGTGCTGCGAGCAAATCATCTGCAACTGGTTTTGTGTAGCTGCAAAGTCCAGGTCACAGCTGAGTGCGGAGTCTTTCTTGAGCTTGCGGAAGCCTCTTTGCCAGCAAGCAAGTGCCCCCGTGGACCTGCTGAGAGAGATGGAGAGACTGGAATTCGCATCGGTTCTTGCGACAGTAGTTGATGAATGCTGCTTGGGGGAGGCTTTCGGTGATGTGATCACCTGCTCTGCCATGGCTTAATAACTTAAACCTGTTCCAACTCGCAGATTCCGGAACAAGTGTGCCATCAGATGCCACGTAATGTAGCTCCCTCAATACAGGCTTTGGCGAGAACTTCATCCGAGATGTTTTTTGTTGAAGGGGGCTTGCTCCCCGAACGGCCATTCGAGTTGAGGACTTAAGGACTCCTTATATCCCGCAGAAGCCAAAGAAGCAAAACAGAGAGAGAGAGAGAGGCCATTGCGTGCATGGGGGCTCCGCTTGTGTTTTTGGGCCCCACAAGTCCCTCAGCCTGATGACAGGGGGGAACCCCCCAATTAACAACTCACCACGACAACCGTGGGGATGCATGAGGGCTCTTCCTAATACTACAAGCCCCCACAGCGAAGCCATAGGGGCGCGGAGACGAGGCGGGTTGGGGGTCCTAGTGTTCGGGGTTGGGGGCTTGTAACATGGGAACTGCCGCACGCTTTGTTTTCCGTTTCAGCAGTCAGTGGGCCCCCAAAGCCTGCCACTCAAGAAAACAATGGGTGGTGGGGCAGGCCAATGGCCTGAGGGTCGGGGCAACCGACCCCTACGCCCTGCAGAAAGAAAGAAAGACCAATGGCCTGAGGGTCGTACGCGACCCCTGAGCCCGGCAGAAAGAAAGAAAGAGAGACAGAGAGGGTGCTATAAGGATCCCACTCAACCCCGAAAGGGGCCATGCCGACACACAGACCCCTCAAAGGTTCAGACCCCAAGCAAGCAAGCAAGCAAAGGTATAGTATAACACCTCTTACGACGTTGTAACTTACCTTTGACACAACTACTGATAGTCGTTTGCGTACTGCAAGGGGAACCGCCCCGGCCTCAGAGAGGAACCCAATCTTGAAAGGAGATCTCCCCTGCAGTTTTCAGGAGTGAGGCGATTTGTTGGTTGACACAGGGTGACGATCCTTCTTCTTTCAGTTTCACGCCAAGCCAAGGGGTCAGCAATGACCTGAAACCCTTGAGTGACAAAGAACTCGGCTGCGCGGACTCGCGTGGGGGGGCGTGCTTACGGGTGCGTTCTCCTGAAGCCGCAGGCAAGGCAAGGCAAGGGTATAGCACCCTGTCCGAAAAACTGAGGATGGTGGCTCTGGCACTGTGTTGTGCAGTTGGAGCATCCGAGGCTGCCTCTGCTCGAGGAGTTGGATCTGTGCGGCTGCAGAGCGGAAGATGCAGCAGTCGAAGCCTTCCTCGCTGCCGCAGAGCCAGGCCTGGGGGGAACGGCCAAATGAGATGCTTGCCGATGGCCACAGTGGCTCCGCCGTGTGCTGTCCAGGAGCTCTGAACATCCTCAACCTCACATGGTGCCCGGCTCTGACGGATGCTTCAATGCTGGCAGTGGCCAAGCACTGCACACGCTGCCTGGCTGCGCAGCTAGATTCAGCTTGCTAGATGCTGTAGCATCGGGCGAAAGTTGGCTTCGCATTGTGCGAGGGACTGTGTGCGGGAGCAGTCGCAGAGGGAACGATTTCGCTCTCGAAGGGACACCTGGGAGGCATGTTTAGGCTGGCACTCGAAACTTATTGTAAACGAATCCAATCCTCCCGTGGATGGAGTTTTCAATCGAGCCATGACAGGTAATCAGTTAATCACACGTAACGAGTATATTTTTCTTGGTGTCTGTTCACACGGACATGATGCTAGCATCGCTCACCTGACAAGACAATCATGCATGACTCGCCTGCGAAATCCGAGTGCGAGTGTCCAAGTCTGAAGCTTGGCAGAGAGGTCTGACATGGCTGAGCTTCTTTGGCAACCTGAACATCACGGCGACAGCTGTTGAGGCATGCCGGGTTTCTTTTTGGTCGTGATCGGAACTCCAGACCGGATGCGTAAACTATCTTTCTGCTTCGTCCCGTTTTTTGATAGAAGTCTGCCATGGGCTTTGCATGCGAGGCTCTGGCGGCCGCGCCCTGCGGTGCCACCCTAAGGGCACTGGACCTAAGGGGGCTGTCGCAGGCGCTTTGGGAAAGGGCGGGCCGAGAGAAGAGAAGCCTCCCAGAAGCTTCCGTCAGGGTTTCGGACTCACTGCATCAGGATACCACAAGCCAGGGTCGACGTTTCAACTTGATATTTCAGGGGCCACAGAGCTTCTTTGGCCACATGACTTCGTACTTGGTCATCTATAGAGCAGGGGTGTGGGTCAAGTTGTTTGCACCGCGAACTCGACTCTTGATCGAAGCATCCCCTCGAAACAGGAAACCAAGCACCCGTTTCGGTGTCGATAGAAGACACACAAGCCTTGCCTGGATGAGTCCCTGTGTGAGCTTCAGAACGGCTTCTTGTCTCCTTGTTACCCATGATAGGCAGCACCGTACGGAGACGGCAAGTCCGTAGCCTGGCGCGGGTCAGGGGTTCCAAAGGTAATTCGTACTGAATTGAATCATTTGGGCTTGAAGTTTGTTTGTTGTGATGGCTTTAGGGAGGTTCTAGAGTGAGACCAGGGGGCCGAAGAGGAGTACTCATTTAGCCACAGCTAAAACTCCATGCCGGTTCTTGATGCAATGCGAAAGCTTGCCAAGCAAAGGCCGTCCGACGTCACTGCTTGGAGTCATGTATCAAGTTGTAGCGCAGAGGGTCCCGGTCGCGTTTGCCATTCCCTCCGTGAAATATGAGGTCCGGGCGATTTTCCCGCAGGTCGTGGAGACAGAGCTGCATCACTAAGTCTGTGGTAGTCAAGTGTCTGGGACAGAACGACTTCACATGCACCACTCATGGGGTGAACTCATTGTGACGGCGGTGGAGGCTCCTATCAATGTCGCATCCAAGGTCCGTCCACGCCGCTGCAGTGCTGCTGCGGCTTGTGGGCTCCCACGCAAAGCAAAAACATGCAAAAAGCTGAGAAAAGGTCGGGGGCATCAGGCCGCACATGCTTAGACTTCTTGCACATCCCAGGACGAGCACTGCAATGGAAACAACACTTGTGCGGACAGCCGGGCCAAGTCTCATTTATGTCCTTGTGGCACATGCCAGGTTGGTGGGAAGCCAAAGGCGAAACGCCTTCGTAAGCTGCCGGCACAGGATTGCGATAGTGTGTCTGCAGTATCAAACGTGCCAGCCGCAGACCGTCACTCAACAAATATCTGCAGTAGTTTCGATGGTGCTTCTCATTGCAACCTGCCGACACCTGATCAACTATGTAGGACGCTGAAAGCGCTCAGGGATTTCGGAAAGATACTTCGTGGTGGAATCCCTGTAGATACAGTCTCCTGCATAGCAGAAGCATCATCGCTCGACTGGATGCGCTGCTCCGTCTGTGATGAAAAGAGATGCACGAGTTTGTGGCATTTGCATATGGCATTTGTTGGGATTCGAAGTCAGGTTCGGCTTTTTCTTGCCAGTAGCAAGTCAGAATCACGTCAAAACCGCTTGCATGACCTCTCAACATGCTGGTAGTTTTTGGTGCCCCTACACGCCCCCTGAGCTCCCCGCACCTCCCTGCACCACCCACCCACCCACCCCCCCAGACCCAAAGAACAGAAACAAGGCAAAAACAAGGACACAAGTGTCAACAAAAACCACCCTTATCAAGACAACAAAGGTCTTTTCATTCCGCGAGCTTTGCCCGTTTCCTGTTCGATGTGTAAAAGCACCGGTCGCACTGGGCATGCAAGCCATGGCAACAGCACATGCAGCAATTGCCAAAGAATTCCCTGCAATGAAGAGATATGAAGAGTAGGAAGGCCCGCGCAACTTCAACGTGTAGCTTTGTCGCAGAGAGATGTTGAAGGCATCCAAGCTCCATGGACATGAAGCAAGAGCGCTGACTGTGCAAAATCGCTGCATGCCATGTTAGGATCGATTTGCACCTGGCGGGTTCTCATAGTTCAAGTCAGTTTGATTGAACTTTAGATGGCTGAACATGCAAACTTGTAGCAAATATGTTTGAGATTTGAACATGAACTTGGGCCGTTAGCATCGTTCAGCCAATGAAAGCCTCTTTAAATTCTTCCCGCTTCTTCTGTGCAGCATCGAAGTAAGATGATAGAAAGCAATAATAGCAAAGTGGCGAGAAGCAGCAATCCGCTGGATATTCGGCCTCGCCAGCAGTTAGCTACAAAGAGTCAGGGAGCCTGACTGCCCAGTAGTCATGATCAGCAATGGCGACTAGCTACGGGTCGACCTGCTTCATAAATCAAGATTCAGTGCGACATAGTGCGACGCTTGCGAAAACCGAACAAGCTTGCACTTTCAGACTTTCAGATTCGTGCCTGCGCTCACGGTGAATTTGCTGTTGCAGCCGATGGAGACCCCCATCCCGAAGCTGCTCGCAGGCATACTGCCATGCAATGTTATTGTACCTGTATGCCTTATTTCTGCTGTTTTGCAGCATTCTGAAACAAGAATCAGTTCACTTTCGAATTTAAGGAATGCATACAGCTAGCCCAGGAACTTTATCCGCCACTGGTGTAACAAAGGCCACGCAATCTCACGGAGATGTGACCATTTGAATGTCACGGAGATGTGACTATCAGGTAAAATAGCCTAGAATTTTCAGCTACTTCCTGGAAGACCCTTACAGTGACCCGTCCAGTTTCCGGCGCGGATAGGTGTGATTAAAGCATTATTTGGCCATGGGCCGTGCTCGTTGTTCAGCTGCGTGGCTTCTGCTTGCGCCGCAACTTTGACAAGACGAGCTCAGGATTTTTTCGCTAGCTTAGTTCCCATCTTCAGTCAAAATCCTAAACCCGTAACTCCTTAAAAAAAACTCCGGAACCCCTAAAGAACCTCGCCTGCATTGCCGAGTTGCGAACCCCTAAACTCTAGGATTTGCACTTCATCGGATCATCTTTCAGGGCCGTCTTCCGGAATGATGTGGCCTGGCTGACGGCCCGACCATCTTTCAGCGCAGGCGCTGCGGCACTCTTGCCTCATTGCGGTCCCATGTCCTGAAGATTCCTGAAGCGAGCAAGATGGCTTGATTCTGCCTGCTGCACAGCAGTTGCAAAGGAAGGTGCGGCTACAGAGTGGGCTGCTTGCATCATGCAGTGACGTCTCCACACCCGGCTTGGCCTCGCTGTCATTTCGCGCCAGGCCATCTCACGCCTGCGCGCCAACTGCGCAGTCCGCCGGGTGGCATGTTGCAACGCTTGCCTCGGGGCAGTGGTCCCTCACCTGTGTCTGAGTGCAAAGAGGTTCGCGTTTGAGCATGCAGCTCTAACACTCAGTCCATGTTTATGCTCGAGGTGTTCGTATTGAGTTAAATAATAGCTACGTTTAGCTACAATTTGTAGTGAGGCAATGGCACTGGCGAGCCCAGCCGGCGTGGTGCACTGGCTGAGTGGGCGCAGGGTGCGCTGCAGTCTGCAGGCGCGCCGTCTTGAGAACACGAGGCGTGCTGCAGTCTGGCAGCACCCTCCTGAGAACACCTATGTCATTCTGATGCTGTGATACACCCGCGAACACCGCCGAAGCCTGTTTTTGAGGCACCGTGGCGGCTGCTGCTGTAGCTTTCTACACCGGTGCGAAGGCGTACAGAGCCTCCGGCTGTCTCACACAATCGGATAAGATTCGGAGAGCATGTCGGCTGCGCATGCATGCTTGGTCCGGCAAAAGCAGCCGAAGCTATTCCTGAACGCAGACTGATAGCGCTTGGCTTCTTGAAACCGCCGATGCGCAGCGAGCTAGCCGCTAGCCTTTACTCTTGGGAGCAAGTCCAAAGCAAGCAGCAAACAGACCCTTTGACATCCGCTGTTGGATGCCTGCAGACGACAGCTGCTTCAGGTGGCAGTCTTTGGCTCTCCTCGTCTGCCGGAGCTCCAAGGAAAGTGTCCGGAACTCTGTTTCAGATGGAGGGATTGGGTAGGGCCCGGCAAGGGCTCGTGGCAGAGCGACCGTGAACAGAAAGACATGGTACCATGATATACCATGATACTACCTAGTGCCCGGGAATTCAAAAGCCCGACCAGAAATCGACGGAATCATCATACCCAGGGTCATAGCAATAAGTACGAACAGTAGCGGCACCAGCGGTGCCTCATCGTACCTGCAGTCTCGTTTGTCTGCTGGCAGGACCCTTCAAAGATGTTGGCTCATCCCTGGATCGCTTTGCTGGCCTGCGCTGCCGAGTGCTGCCACATGGCATACACATAAATAAAGTCCACAGTCCAACATGTCTGCTAATTACCGAGAGCCTATCTGGACTGTGCTCCTTTTTGCGATGATTGTCCAAAGTATACTTTCCCGGCAGGAGAACAACTCCATCTTTGGACTTAGGTATCCCGCGCAGCGTGGAAGCAAGGAGGCGCCATACCTCTCTGAAGGCCAGGCGACCTCCGCAGCTGAGCTGCAGTTTGCTATACTCGGTTCCAGCAGCCTGGTCAGGAATCAGCCCTGTTCCATACCGCAACGGAAGTAGCCCGTAGCCCCAGACAGAACTTGCACATGGCTTC